CTCCATCCACAAGGCTTGATACCCTGTCAAAGAAGGATACTGGGTTGGTTTGATGTGATTTATTTCTGACAAATACTTGCTTAGCACCTTATTATCTTCTAGGTACTTACAAATTGATTGATTGATTTTTGTTCCATTATCTTTCTGGGTACCAAAGTTAAGACAACTGTCTATAATTCTCTGGGTTGTTCTTTTTATAGCTAGGTATTATATTTGCCCTTTTCCAGTCCTCCCGTCCGCCATGAGTTCTGAAAGATAATCGCTAGTGGCTCAGAGATCTCTTCAGCCAGGTCCTTAAGTATTCTAGGATGTATTTCATGAGGCCCTGCCAGCGTGAAGACATCTAACTTGTCTAAGTAACTTTTTATTTGTTCTTTCCCTATTTTAGCCTCAGATCCTACCCCATTTACACTAACATTCACTATATTAGTCATTTGATCACAGCTCTCCTTTTTGGTGAAAACTGAAACAAAAAGGGCATTCAACACTGCAGTCATGGCTGGGTTTTCTGTTAGTGTCTCCTTGTTGAGTAATGGGCCTGCCCTGTCCTGTCCTGGGCCTTCCTTTTGCTTCTAACGTATTTGTAGAATGTTTTCTTGTTACCCTTTATGTCCCTAGCTAGTTTAATCTTATTTTTGTGCCTTGGCCTTTCTACTTTTGTCCCTACATGTGCGTTGTTGTTTTTTAACATTCTTATATATAATTTGACTTAGGTTCCACTTTTTGTATGGCTCTTTTTTTAGATTCAAGTGACTGTAGATCTCCTGGTTAAACGGGGTGTGTGTGTGTGTCTCTTACCAGGCTTCCTTTCTTATGCATTGGGATCGTTTGCTCTTGTGCCCTAAAATACTGCCAATAACAAACAAAAAGAAACCTGCCAATGGCCAATAACATTGCACCATTTCCAGAGAGGTAAAATGAAAACCAAATCACACTTGCTCTCCTTTATTTCCCCTCTTATCTGCCAGCCGGGCCTCTTCCACTGAACTGAAAGAATGTGACATTGGCCTGCAAGGTCAAACTGTCCTAAGAAGCGGGATGCTGAGTGCTGGGATAGGTCCAGGCCAGGGGCGTGTTCTCAGCCTAGCTGAATGAGTGACAGGCTGAGTTCTGTCTTACAGACTGAAAGGCTGTGACTGAGGATGCGGTCCAGTGAGGGGCAGGCCCTTGGATTACAGAAATAGGCAAAGATCAGAGCTGTGTATGGTTGTGCGATGGAAACAGTGTGCGCTGAGTCACAAGGGCTGGCATGAAAGCTATAAATACAACTCCAGAGCTGCCAAACCCAAGCATTCAAAAAGTGGTGTGTCAGGCCCCCAAAAGCATAAGCTAGGCCTAGAAAGCATAAGGTTTTTTAAAATAATAAACGTGTGGGTCTTTTTATAACTTCTGGGTTCTGAGCTCCTAGGCTCCATTCAGGTCATGTTTTCAGGCTTTTTTCAGGCACCACGAGGGCTAGGAACTTACCTTAAAAAAAAACCCACCTAAACTGAGAGTCTCACCTAATCCCATGACTCCAGGAGCTGGGGCTTTAACATAAACTCACAAGAACCGGCAATGCTGGAACTTTTAGGAAAGCTCCTGAGAAGTGGCTTTTGCAGCATGGAGCGACGTGGTAACATCTCCCGCCTCCTGGCTGCCTGTTTGCTGCTAGCTGGCTCCGGTGTTTCTGTCAGATGGTGACTGGTCACCTCATTCTGTCAACACATCCAGCATGAAAGAGCGCTCCATGGCAAGATGAAGGAGTGGGATGTACAAGATTCTGGGGCCCTGCAGCCTTTTTAACATGCCAATGCCTGAATGGTGAGTCTCAGGGAGGGATGAAACGGTGTGAGCCGCAGAGCTCTTGCAGAAGCTTCTGCAAGGCTGTGTTTGTCTTTTCCCTGAAAGCTGAGGGGATCCAGCATTAACATGCTCACAGGTATTTAGCATTCAGGCCTGTAGGGAATCCAGAAATGTAATTGTCCGAGGCGGCAAATGCCTAGTGCGGGGCATGGTGCTGTGATTCTGTTCTCTGCAGCCTGCACCTTTAAATGTGAGCTGTGTGCCTGCTTGCCTGGCTGTCCGAGGGACAGGGCTGGGAGGGTTTGCGTATGGAGGATTTTTACAGTGCAAGAGATCACTGTGCACCTTTCTCAGGGAGAGTTTATATTTGTTCTTTATTGTTTTTCTCACTTTCATCTGGCGTGGAAGATGTTTGCACACAGCACCTTCCACAAGGAGGCCCCAGCTTCAGAGGTGGATTTACCATGAAACAAATTGTGCGGTGGCACGGGGCCCCCAGTGACAGGGAGACCCCCCCCCCCCAAAATGCAGGACAAAGTTCACCTGACAACCTGCCTCCGAGTCGAGTCCCAGCCGGCGGCGCAACCAGCTGCCTGCATGCCGTGGCCAGTGGCCCCACGCAGCTCCAGGAAGCGGCTGGCTGCTGGCAGATCCCTACATGCCTCTGGCGGCGGGGGCGGTAGCCCCGTGCGCTGCCCCTGTCCACGCAGTGCACGGAGACCCGCGGTCCCCCTGCCCCCAAGGGGTGCGCAGAGACGGGCCAGCAGCAGCGCATCAGGGCTAAGGCGGCTCCCTGCCCGTGCTGCCTCCCTCCCTCCCTCCCAGAAGTGGCCAGCATGTCCCTGCGCCCCCTGGTGGGCGTCTCCACACCTTGCTCCCGCCCCGAGCACCAACGCCGCAGCTCCCATTGGCTGGGAACCGTGGCCAATGGGTGCTGTGGGGGTGGTGCCTGCAGGCAGCGGCATGCAGAGTTTCCCTGCCCGCCCCCCCAGGAGCTGCTGCCAGCAGGGTGTGCTGATCGCTATGAGAGCCTCACTGCCCAAGGTAAATGCTACCCCCCCACCCCAGCCCGCACCCAAACGTCCACCCAGAGCCTGCACCCCTCACATACCCCAACCCCCTGCCCCAGCCCAGAGCCCACCCCCTTCTCTCCCTTCCACACCCCAGCCCCCTGCCCCAGCCCCAAGCCTGCACCCCTCATATACCCCAACCCCCTGTCCCAGCCCAGAGCCTGCACCCAAACATCCTCCCAGATCCTGCACCCCTCACAGACCCCAAGCCCCTGCCCCAGCCCACGCCCTCTTCCCCCCTGCACCCCAAATCCCTGCCCAAAGCCTGCACCCAAACTTGTTCCCAGAGCCCAACCCCCACACCCCTCCCTGCACCCCAACCAAGGTACCTCCCTTTATTTTCATTTACTTTCTATTACTTAGAATACAGGAGGATGAAGAATGAGAAACGGGCAGAGGGGAGAGGAGAATGTTTTTTCTTGGCTGGATCCCCAGGGGGCCCCCCTGAAAATGAAGCTGCACCCAGGGCTCTAGTAACTCTAAATCTGCCATTGCCCAGCTTGTTAAAAATTAATAAATGGACAGAATGGGGCTAGGGGCCCAGGAGATGAGAACAGCAGTTGCACCAGGCCCTGTATTTAGCAGCAAAAAAGGAGCGATTGCTCTGTGCCCTCCTCAGCTAGCACCGAGCTGGGAGTGAGGAATGGGCACTGCTACCCTTCACCAGAAAAGCTCAAGGATGAAATGGCAGATGTCTTCTCACGCCCCAGCAGGCAGAGCCAAGTTATCCCAGTCTGTGCACACTCATGTCTACGAGTCCAGATGGCCACTCTGGAGAATCCCACAATGCACCTTGGGCTCGCTTTGCCCCCATGCTCCACATCTGCTTTTGCATAATACTTCAACCCCCTACCCAAAGTAGCAAGAGCAGAGGCTTCGGGGTCACAGAGGGGCTGGGTCAGAGTATCCTCACCCCGCAAGAGGAGCCCTTGTAGTCCAGTTGGGCTAGCACTGGGCACCCAGTAGAGTCAATCAGCCCCTTTGGCAGAAATAATTCTCTTCCTAACAGCCTCTCCTCACTCCCTCCCCAACCCTGCCAAGCACAGAGTTTAGAACTCTCCCTCAGGCTCCATAGGAGAGGTCTCATCCAGGGGCCAAAACTGACCCACTTTATGGGCAGCCTCCTCTTGAATGGAGGTGCCTCTCCTGAAGACTACAAGTCCCAGCATGCAATGCAGCATGGTTCAAAAGGAGATCTGTAGAGCCTGGCCAGTACAGCTGCTTCTGTGATCATTTTCATCCCAGAAGTTAATTTTTTTGAAAAACAAAACAAATTTTTGAAGATTCATGCTTCCTCATTTCCTTTATGCTAGAGGGGAATGAGGGAAGTGGGGGTACCCTAAAAACACAGTTTGAGTTTGAGTATCATTTAAAAAAAAAATCTAAAAAATTTGTAAACCTGTCTTCCCCACCAGAATGCTCATTTTTGACAATGAGTCCATTTTGTTCCCCCCCCTCCCCCCAAAAGTGTTTTTAAAACTAGCTCTAGGAGACACAGCATATTTAAATCCTGGGATGGGGGGACAGCTCACCTGAACACAAGGCCCTCCCCTTGGAGGAGGGAATGGCTACAGCACCCAGAACTATGGGGCAAAAACAGGAGCTAGGCACAGTGGTCCAGACAAAACTTTTCTTCACACCCCCAAAAAAAAAAAAAAAGCATATTTAGGTCAACCAGAGTATTTTGCAAATTTTTGGAAGGTTTTTTTGTGATCAAAACAGGCTAAATATTTCAATTGACTTTTCAATTCAAATTTTATTTCAATTTCATTTTCCAAAGTCTTATGTTTGATCCAAAACTTTTTTTTGTTTTTAATTTTTAGTTTGCTGAAAATGTCCAACATTTTTATTGCAGATCAAAAATCAATATAATTTTAGATTCCATTTTTTTTTTTTTTTTTTTGGTTTGGCCACTGACCTAATAAAAATAAAAAATAAATCCACTTATTTCCACAGCTCTAACAGAATGAAAAACTGGGACAGGGATGTAGGTCTTGGGGTCAAAAGAAAGGACCCTCAGCAGAGAGCTCTGGACAATGCTGAATCACCTGTAGAATCATCCTCTAGTAAATTGCCCCTGATGCCCTGAGCTGGCCAAAGTCTGAACATCACCCCCAATGGAACAAATTCACACAACACTGCACATCTTGTCCTACGTACTATTTTTTTTTTTTAATTCTTTCCACACCACACAAGTTTCTCTTCCTTCTCTTGGCACTTATTTTTATTTATTTTTTTAAAAAACAGTTAGTCTTTCGGACTTTGCGCTGTACACAGAGAGATGATTTTTTTCTAAGTTTATTTTCTTTCAAGTGTGGTCATGTAGCCACTTTAAAAACAGACAAATAAATAAAAAAATATTATTAAATAGCTGCAGGTGGCTTTGGAAATGTGCCATGAGCCTCTAAAAGGACAGGGTGTTTGTTTGTAATATGCTAAGACTAAAATTCAGTGCAACAGATGCAACTACAGTGCAGGTAAGTTAACTATACAAAAGTCATTCATTCTATTGAACAAGCATTTCATTACAGTTGCTATAGAAACTATACCTTTGTATCTATACTTTGTTTACATTGTACAATGTGAATATAGTTCAAGAATATTTACAGTACTTTGCTTGTCAATCAATCAGAAACACTATAACTTAATGTCTACTATTAACACCATTGAACAAATATATATCTTCCAGTCTATACACAAAGCAGGAAATGTATGTCTCCATTCAACTGATTAATTTCTCAAAAAGAAAAGGAGGACTTGTGGCACCTTAGAGACTAACAAATTTATTTGAGCATAAGCTTTCCTGAGCTTATGCTCAAATTGGTTAGTCTCTAGGGTGCCACAAGTCCTCCTTTTCTTTTTGAGAATACAGACGAACACTGCTGCTACTTTGAAACCTGTGATTAATTTCTGAGAGTCTCGGACTTACAAGGTAGTGACTGGGCTAGTGTTTGTATTGTGGCAGCCAGTTTATTTTGCCCCAAACTGGCTTTTGCGGCCTGTAAACATACCACTACTGCTTCTTAAATATACCTTCAATGCGAGGGTTGCTTGTGGTGGGAGCAAAGCAAGACTGGATTTCAATTCTGGTGTGTTGGTTTGTTTTTATCAATGAGCCAAGGGGGCAGGTTGCTGGTTTTTCAGTAGTGAGGCTTCCCTGTCCATATTCACGGCAATTGACCTATAAGGCAAATATTGCCTGACTAAAAAAAAAAAGTTTTTAATTCCCTTCCCCCTCCCCCCCACCAACAAAAATCTCACCCCACCCAAACTATACCCATCTGACTCAGAGGAAATGATTCATTCAGGTGAGGAAAGTATATTCAGCTGGGGACAGGTTCAGAAGGACTGAGAAGCTGCCACTGGAGATTCTAAATCCTGGGAGATGTGGTGAGGACCCCAGAAGGCAGGTCCCCCTAGGACTGTCCATGTATCACTACAGTGCTACAGCCCTTTCAGAGTTCCTCCTGGGGCACCGTTCAGTTGTAGCTACTGCTCAGACTTGTAGAGGATCAGAATGAATCCATTAACATTACAGTCCTTGGCCCCTCCCCCCATGGTCCCTGGTGGGTAGAATCCTGCTCCCCCAGCCCACTGGGGGTTTGAAATTTGAGACTGTTTGAGACATTAAAACAGGCTTTCTTCAGTGATTAAAACCTTTAAAAGTATTGACCTTTAAAAACTTCTAATTAAAAAAATCTGTCGCTTCATTAATAAGGGAGCCGCCTCCGGCTCACAAAGCTGGAGGTGGTTGGTTGGTTTAAAACATTAGTTGTTGTTTCTGAATCTATCATATTTGAAATCCTGGACATGAAATCAGCTAAAATTGTTCCTAGCAAATGTGTGTCCGTATATTGCTGGGGGACTCTAGAGATGGAACAAATGCGCCCGCCACCCCCTCTCCCCGCTCATCCCTCCTGCCTGGTTTCTGCACCTGCGTTAAACCCCCTGGGAGCGAAGTTCCGTGGTGGAGCAGAAGGACGAGCGGCTGGCTTGTTAGACCTGAGAGTCTGCTCCCAAGCTGTGGAACTCGTCAGGCGTCTTGTCACTCTGGCTGGCGCCGCCCTGGCGGAACCCGGAGGCAATCTCGTCAAAGGTCCGGCCCCTTGTCTCGGGCACCTTGAAGTAGGTGAAGATGAAGAAGAGGATCAGCAGCACCGTGAAGATGATGAAGACGTACGGGCCGCAGAGTTGCTGGAAAGGAACAGCCAGGGAATCGGTGAGTATGTTTCTTGGAGGTGCCAATCGGCATTGGCACAGGGCTTGCCTGGTCTGGGGTGCTCAGGGGCACCACAGAGCTTGCCAGGCATTATGCTACCAATTCCTGAGCAACATCCACTGCCTCCTTATCTATTTCTATACAGACAGCTGTCAAACACACCTGAACCCAACCCCAGGTGACCTTTCACCTAAAGGATGTGCCCTAGCTCTGCCTTTGTGATGGCGCAACCTGGCCCATGACTTTGCTAGGCAGTTTTGTACCTAGAGGGTCATGTACAGAGCTGATCCTGGGGTTAGAAAGGCACCAGCAGCAGCCTCAGCTCAGTCTCAGTTGCTTACTCCCATAAGAAGAGCTGCAAACCTGCATCTCCTCCGCCTGAGTAGCTTGGGGAGCTGCCTCATTCAGACCAAAGTCCTACGCCATGCTGAGCATGAGCCTCATGCTCTCACAGGGCCCTGAGCAGCCAGGGGCAACCTGGCCGGACCCATTCGTGTGGGAAGCAAGAGATTTTCCTGGCTGAGCAATGCTGAGCTGTTTGGGTTGGGTGTGCCCTTTCAGCAGGGCAGATCCTCACAAGGTGACCCGGCCTGTGTCTTTGTACCATTCACTGGAAGTGAAACTCCGCTCCAGGAGTGGAGCCAGCACACGGCTCAGGCACCACGGAAGCCTTTGAGGCACTGGCAGAGGCAGAGCGGTGGCAGCCCCCACTGGGGAAAATACACATGGGTCTTTCTGGTTCGCTTGCATAGGAGGCAGCAGGGTGGTGTGGTGGGCACTGCTGGGGGCTCCGAAGAGCTGCTTGCTATCCCTGGCTCCACAAGTCATTTAGCCTCACTGGGCCGTACAACAGGGATAATGATACGGACTTTCCTTTGCTCGGGGCTTGCAAGAGATGAGACAGTTATACTTCGCTAGCATCATCCAGCGTGCTGCTGCGCATTTGGTCTTTACAGAAAGCCAGGGAACCAAACGCAGCCAGGATGTAAGCAGCTGGACGCTCTCTAGAATACTCGGGGGGTAGAACCCACGGACACCAAGCTAAGTCTGAACTCTTGGATGCTAATCAGTCTCTGTCCTACTCGGGTATCCCTGCACTGCCCCAGTAGGTGGCTGCATCCATTAGAGCGTCCCTTCTCTAACACCATTTGCCAGCCTATCTGGCTGCAGAGAGAAATGGGCCCAAACCACAACCCCAGATCAAACCAGGGGGAAGCCCCAATCCAGGTGTGGATGCAGGCTGCGATGCCCAGTCCCACCTACAGTACCAGTCCCAGCCCCTCTCGGGAAAGTGAAATTCTGCCAGAGTGGCTCACAGCAGCCTTATGTCCTCAGCACTCACAGAGCTGGAGGATAATCAGGGCAGGGGAATTACCTCCACATACTGGAAGCCCATGCCCACGATGAAGTTGGAGGTCCAATTGGACAAGCCGGCAACGGCGAAAGCAGCAGGGCGAGGGCCTTGGCTGAACAATTCTGCCACGATAAACCAAGGGATGGGGCCTGGGCCAATCTCAAAGAAAGCCACAAACCCAAAGATGGCAATGATGCTGATGTAGGACATCCAGGCCATTTGGTCCTAGCACAGGGAAACAGAGAAGAGCATTAATTTGTTCCAAACATACATGGACCCTGCATCTCTGGTACAACTGTGTTCCGGAGCAGCGGAACGGGGGTGGGGTGTGAGGGGCAGGAGGCCAGGGCCCCCCCACTTTCAGGAAGCTTCCTCTACCCCGTCGTATTCCTTTGACAAATGATCTCGGGGTGCTTCCAGTGGGCTGGGGATTAACTTTCATGCTGGACAAGCCTGGAGGCAGGTGTCTTGCCTCTGAAGCAATGAGCACTGCTATCCCAGGAGCCAGCATTCTCCAGAATTACGACCCCATGGAGGAAGGGTTTCTTGAAATGACATCAGGGATTCAGGCAGCGTTGACTGGCCAACAATGTGACATCATCCCTGCAAGGTCTCCCTTTCGACCAGCCTCCCAACTACCACCACCTGAGTGCTCAGTGCCTCACCCCTTCCTTCCCTTGTATTACTCAGTGGGTGTGTCTCCAGGTGGCACCCAACCCCGAAACCGGTTACTCTGAACTCGGAACCATCACTCACCAGCAGCACCAGGGCAATGGTCATGAGTACTGCACAGCCTGCCATCCCAGCCAGGCCGATGAGGTGCAGCGTCCTGCGCCCGGCTCGCTCCACCACAAAGAGCTGTCAGACAGAGGGAGGGGAGCACTGTTCAGCACATCTACAACCAGGGGATGGACCCATGTCCGGCCCCACCAATACCCCTCCCTGGGGAACACGCCCCATGGCCAGTGGCCGAAGCCCAAGCCCCACTGCCCGGGGCAGCGGGGCTCAGGCTTCAGTTTCGGACCCCACACCTGGGGTGGTGGGGCTCAGGCAGGCTCAGGCTCCTGGGGTTGTGTAGTAATTTTTGTTGTAGAGAAGGGAGTCGCAGTGCAATGAAGCTTGAGAACCCCTGGTCTAAAATGTTCTAATCCCAGCGCTGCTGCAGTTTCATTCCATGGCCTTGGGCAAGTCACTTGTGGCACAGTTTTCAGAGGCACTAATGCCAGTGGGACCTGCAGGGCTCGACACCTCTAACAAGGCTGCCATTAACTACACTAGCCTCAGTTTCTCCAGCTGTGAAATGAGGGACGTTTCTCACCACGTTTGGCAAAGAGCTTTGAGATCAAGGAGGGGGAGCGCTAGAGCAGTGTGAAGTACACCTCTACCCCGACAGAACGCGGCCCTCGGAGGACAAAAAATCTCACCACGTTCTAGGGGAGACCGCTTTGTATTGAACTTGCTTTGGCCCCCCCCGTTCCTTGTTCCCTGACTGCCCTCTCCAGAGACCTCTGTCCCTAATCACCCCCAGGACCCCAACCCCTACCCAACCCCTCTGCTCCGACCCCTATCCACACCCCCGCCCCCTGACAGGCACTCACACAGCCCCATCCCGCTCTGCTTTCCTTGCCCTGGCCCCAGCCATGTCGCTCTGTGCGTGGGTGGGGGTGGGGAAGGTCCCTCACTCACCTGTGGCAGGAAGCGGAGCGCCGTGGCTGGGAGCTGGCAGAGTGGAGCGGGCTGGGGCCAGGCTGCTCTGCTTCCACCTCTGCTGGTGAGTGCCGGGGGGGGGGGGGGAAATCCCAAGGGAATCCCAATCTCACAATCTCACTTCCCCCAAGTGACAGGGCTGGGGCCAGGGCGAGGGAATTGGAACAGGCAGCTCCTGCCCCCCTGCTAATCCCCCAGGCCACTCTGGGACTGTGGGGCCCCCAAAAGTGCCCCCCCACCCCCAGCTCCTGCCTCCCAGATCCAGGCGGGGGTGGGGGGGAAGCTCCTGACCACCCCTGAGACCCTTTGCCCCTTATCCAACCCCTCGGCCCTGGCCTGGCCCGACACCCTTAACACGCTGCTCAGAGCAGCGTGTCGGAGGTTTATCGCATTGTATGTGAACCCGCATTATATCAGGGTAGAGGTAGAGCATCACATTTGGGTAGGTGTTTATCTAATGGGGCCTTGCTCACAGCCAAATCCACACGCACCAGCACTGGCCTCAATCCTGCAAGGACTTACGGACATGCAGTGGGAAGGAAGACTTCAGCAGACACTCACCGAGACAACCGTGAAAGCAGTGTTCACCACCCCGGAGCCGATGGTGGCATAGACTGGCTGCTCCACACCTGACTTTTCAAAGATGCTGGTAGAATAGTAGAAGACCTACAGAACAAAGCAACACGCCATGAACAAGCTTTGCAGGTCCCAGCCTGAGGCATCTCTGAGCATCTACAGGCAGAGCATGACTTCAAACCGTCTGACCAATGCCATTCATGTGGGGGTGCATATATAGAGTAAGAGAGGGCTGGGTTGTGGTGCTCAGCACAGCCCTGTGTGGAGGGGTGTGCAAAGCTGCACCAATGGGAGGCACTGTGGCCAAGTGGGCAGGGCACTGGCCCAAGGGTTCCACTCGGAGCGTTTGACCCTGGATGTGGCACTGCAGGATGGAGAGCTCACTGCCCCCCCTCCTGGTACAGCCCTGTGAGATCCACCCGCGGCCAGGCCTCGGCACAGCTGACCCCGCAGCGCTGCACTCACCGCATTGATCCCCGAGAGCTGCTGAGACAGCTGCAAGACAATGGCAATGAGGATCGGCTGTTGATACAAAGGGGAGCGGAAGAGCTCCAGTATTGTGACCTTCTTCTCCCTCATCATCTGCCGGCTCTCTTCCTTCATCTCCTGCAGGTCGCTGCTGACGTCTGTTGTCCCTCTGAGCTTCTTCAGGACTGGGGGGAAGGAGGTGGAGAGGTGAGGAATGCTGAAGGGAGCTGGCCCCCTAGGGCCTTTCCCCGGGCAGGGGAGGCCAACTCACCACTCTTGGCTTTGTTCTCCTCATTGCGATTGATAAGGAGGAACCGGGGGCTCTCGGGGGCGAAGGGCAGGATGATACATTGCAGCAAGGAAGGGACAAAGGTGAAGCCCAGCAGGAGGGGCCAGAGCGACTCGTTCCCCATGATTAAGTCCATCCCAAACACCTGGAGAGACACAACAAGCTTAGCTCCTCCTGCAAACGCCATGGTAACAGAGTGTAAGGCCAGATTCTCTAGTCCAGCCTCCAGTGTATCACAGGCCACCCTGTACCTACACACTAAACCCAACCACCGACGGGCCCCAGTGGGGTCAGCAGCAGGGACTGAACCTGGCATGTCTGAATCTGAAACTGCGCTTCTACTGCCTGAGCAAAAGGAGCAGGCCTAGGTTTGGAGGCAGCAGCAGACTCAAACGTCATTAGGTAGACCAGCAGGAAGAGAAGCCACATTGTGCTAGAGAATACTGTCCCACCAGCTCCAGCTCCTTCCACTTGAGCAATGCTAGGAATGCAGGAACCGTGACAATCAGATAAGGGATAAGGTAGATCACATGAGACTGCAGGGCCAGCATGAGAACCAGGGAGCTACAGCACCAGAATCACAGCCCTAGGTCTGGATCTCTCGCCCTCTGTGCACAGCCACAAGAGATCATCACATGCAAAGCCAGCACAGCGGCACCAGATCCCCGTCTCTCTCTAGGGGAGCCAGAGATAATTGAGCATCTTCAGTCCCCATGGATACCAGGCCACACTTAGATGACATTTACAGTGGACCTCATGAGCACCAAACCTAGATCTGCCCATTATACATTAGCACCTCAAGAACAGGGCCCCATCATAGTAGACGCTGCATGCCCCCCCCAAGGAGCGCACAATCAACAGGCACAGGGAGAGTCATTATAACCATTCTACAGGTGAGAAACAAGCACAGAGATTACAAGGCTTGCCCAAGTCACACAGCAAGTCACAAGCAGAGCTCAGAACGGAACCCAGAGCTCCTGAATCCCAATCCAGTGCCCTGGCCCCAGTCCACCCTTTGTCTCTCAAAGCACCTCAAACATCTCCAATCAGCGTTGATAAAAACTCACCAACTGGTCAATGCAACATTAAAAACAAAGGCAGGAAACCAGATGAACTCTTGGGAAACTGAACACTTGACAGCGTACCACGGACTGGCCAGTGCAGCAGCAGGTGCCTTGGAGAACTCACCTGTGCGATGAGGATGCCCACGACTATGCCAAGCTGGTGGAATGTTCCAAGAGCCCCTCTCAGTGCTGTCGGAGACACCTCACCCACATACATGGGCACGAAGCCAGTGGTGAGGCCAGAATACAACCCGACGACGAAGCGGCCCAGGATCAGCATCTCGAAGGAATAAGCCACCTTGGAGAACCCCATCAGGATGGCCGCCAGGAAGGCGAGACTGTTTGACATCAGCATGGAGTTACGTCTGGGGAGGCAAAGACATGGAGTTCAGGACCAGCAGCAGGGCAGCTGTCCCAATGCTGCATCCAAGGGGCACTGGGAAAATCACAAGAGCCCAAATTTTAGTTCTTGGTAAAAAGAAAAGAGGAAGATTTCCAAAGCCTAATTGTGGAAAGAGAATAGAGGCAAAGACAATAGGTGCAGAACATGTGAACGAGAAATGAAGTGGAATGAAGAAGTAGAAAATTAAACACAAAGCAGTTTCCAGTGTCCAAGCTGCATGAAATACAAAACATTGTTAAAGCAAGGATGGGCAAAAACTCTACTTGGTTTTCAAATACTTTGTTGCAATGATCTAAGGCTAGGGTTGCCAACTTTCTACTCGCACAAAACTGAACACCCTTGCCAAGCCCCGCCCCTGAGGCCCTGCCCATAGCCCGCCTCATCTGAGGCCCCACCCCCTGCTCACTCTATCCCCCTCCCCCGCTCTCCCACCCTCACTCACCAGGCTGGCTCAGGGGGCTGGGATGTTGGGGGAGGAGTGGGGCCAGAAATGAGTTCAGAGTGCAGGAGGGGGCCCCAAGCTGAGGCAGTGGGTTGGGATGCAAGAGGGGTGAGGGCTCTGGCTGGGGGTGAGGGCTCTGGGGTGGGGCCAAGGATGAGAGGTTTGTGGTGCACAAGGGGACTCCGGGCTGACAGGTGGAGCCAAGGGGTTTGGAGTATGGGGGGGCAGGGGTGGGGGCTCCATGGCCAGGTGGCTCTGCATGCTGCCCCCTGTAGCTCCCATTAGCTGCAGTTCCTGGCCAATGGGAGCTGGGGGGGTGGTGCTTGGCCAGAGCCCCTTGGCTGCCCCTACGGGTAGGAGCTGGAGGGGAACATGCCGCTGCTTCCGGGAGCCACATGGAGGCTAGCAGGGAGCCTGCCAGCCCCACTGTGCAGTGCCCCCAACTGGACAGTCACTGGCCCAGTCAGTGGTGCTGACCGGAGCCGCCAGGATCTCTTTTCGACCGGGTGTTCAGGGCGAAAACCAGACACCTGGTCACCCTGAGGCCAGAGCCACCCACCAAACAAGGCCTAACCCCAGTGTGGGATAACGATTACACTCATGAGCCTTCACACAAAGCATGAGCAAAACTCTCCAAGCAGCTGTGATGGAGACACTGGGTCTAGTCATGAAGGGAGAGATGAAATTCTCCTTTGACAGTAAACAGCAACCTGAGGACCCAAGCACAATAAGAACATAAGAACAGCCACACTGGATCCGATCAATGGTCTATCTCGCCTCGTATCCTGTCTACTGACAGTGGCCAGTGCCAGGTGCCCCAGAGGGAATGAACAGAACAGACAATCAAGTGATCCATTCCCAGCTTCTGCCAAACAGAGGCTAGGGACACCATCCCTGCCTGTCCTGGCTAACAGCCATTGATGGACCTATCCTCCATGAATTTATCTAGTTTTTTTGAACTCTGGTATGGTCTTGGCCTTCACAACATCCTCAGGCAAGGAGTTCCACAGGTTGACTGTGTGTTGTGTGAAGAAATACTTCCTTTTATTTGTTTTAAACCTGCTGCCCATTAATTTCATTTGGTGACCCTAGTTCTTGTGTTATGAGAAGTAGTAAACAACACTTCCTTATTTTCTTTCTCAATGCAGCTTTGTTTGACAGGAGTGTGCATGCAAAGCTGGAGAGGCCAATAGACAAACTCTATTGGACATGGAGATTACACACATTTGGCCTGTGTGGAGGGGATTCTGCACTAAGCAGTCCTGGCTCCAGGTTCCAATCTTCTCAGAAGAGAGAGTGGGGTCGAACTGCCTGAGTACAGCTCAGTGGTTTTATAGGTAAAGCCGTGGCTTAGGACTCAAGAGCTCTGTGCTCTGTTCCTGCCTCTCTGAGGCTGTGGGTAAGTCAATGAATTCTGCTGTCCCTCAGGACCCATTCTGTAGTGCCCACTGTCTGCTGGGCATTTTCCAGACATCAAAGAAGGGCGGCCCTTGCTCTGGAGATAGAGGAAAGGGAACAGCCACAGGCAGCTGATACACAAGTCATATCAGTTCACGGTAGGCAGCACAGCCAAAGAGGGGCTGAAACACAGCAGAGCAGGGGCCTTGTGGATAAGCTCATGGAGTTGGTACCATGCATGGTGGGGCATGAAGGAAAAGGCACAGACAGGCCTGGGGAGGAGCTGACAGAGGTGACCAAGCCTGGGAATGCTGGTGGAGTAGGAGGAGGGAGAATGAGGAGGCAGGGGCAGAGTTATGCAGTGACAAGAAGCTTAGATCTGATGAGGAGCCAGTGGAGGGATTTCAAGAGGATTCCAATGTGATGAAATTAACAGACAAGGAAGAGGATTTAAGAGGCTGCCTTTTATACAGCCTGATGGAGGTGATGGTGTGCGTGCTTGGGAGGCGAGAAGAGGATGGTACGGGAGGCATTCAGGGGGATAACAGTATTGCCCTACCACTTGGGGGAGCTGATTGTGATGTACCCAGATACTAAGGTGATGAGCCCCCACCAGCCCCAGGATGGACAGAGCAGTTCCAGCACGCACAGTACTTACCGGCCAAAGCGATTGACGAACAGCCCAACGGAGAAAGATCCAATCATTCCCCCAACAGAGAATATGGCAACAGAGAGGGACCACAGGGTGGTAAGGGTGCCAGTGGTGATCGGTTCCTCATAGCGAGTTAGCCACGTCTGGTTGTAGAACTCTTCAATCACCTGCACCAGGAGTAGAAGGAAATCCAGTCAGTTGGGGACAGACCCAGGCTCACGCCGAATGACATTCACCCTGCTCACAGGCCCTGCACGAAGCCTAGACAACAATGAAGTCTCACTCCTCACCCATTATCTGCACAGATCCACCCACGCTCTGTGTTGTAACTTTAGAGATTTTACATATTAAGCTCCCGCCCCAAACTAATATGGGATAGTCCAGCTAGAATTAGCCAGACATTTATCTACCTATGGTTCTTATCCGGATCGCCTCTGTAGCAGCTAAAGATCTCACAATCCTTAATGTATTTATCCTCACACACCCCTGAGGCAGGGCAGGGATATTATCTCCATTGATCAGTGGGGAAACTGAGGCACATAATACAAGCAACTTGCCCAAGGTCACACATGAAGGCTGTGGCAGAGCAGGGAATTGAACTGGAGTCTCCTAAGTCAGTGTTTCTCAAGCTATCTGATGTGGGGGACCAGCAATTTTTTTTTTCCAATGCGCGTGCAGACCGGTAGCCAATGGCTCACGGACCGGCACCCATCCGCGGACCATCACTTTGAGTAACACTGTCTTAAGTCCCAGGCTAATGTCCATAAGCACTCAACCATCCAGCCTCTCACAAGTTCAGAGAGTTCCTAGACCTGGCAGCCAGACCGGGCTGTACTTAGGCATATGCAGTTGCCCTTAGGCATACACAGCTGCGTAGGACACCTGAAAATTTGGGGCACCCCTGGGTCTTAGTGTCTACCCTCCCACCTCTTCCTATCTGTGTTCTGACCCTTCCTGCAGGCTCCAACAGCTAACTGCTGCAGCCTGGTGAGTCTTCCTCCGGAGGGGATCTAGTTAAAGGTGAAAAAGCCTTCCAGCCTGCCAGACCTATTAGCACAACATTGAAAGTTGTAAGAGCCATTCAGGTGGTAATGAAGCCATTTAACAGGCATTTGCCAACCTCCAGGTTTCTGAATTTACTGACAAAAATAGTTGTGCATTGCTGTAATATTTACTCAGAAGTGTTAGTCTACAGGACCTTAGTTTAAAATTTGCTTTAAAAATATTTCAATGGTGTGTTGATTATAAACTCATATCTCTAAAAAAATCCTTGCATAGATTTTTAGATGTGGAATCTGAGTATTCATCTTTAGCCTTAAATGTTTGGATCTTCAGACATAGTTTTTTAAATAAATCATTCAAAAGACCACCCTTATCTAAAATACACATTTTAATTTTAATGACTATAGTATAAAAAAAAAACTTGCTTCCAAAGTCTTCCTGTCCATTCCTTTCTCCCTTCACCCCCTGTTGAAGAGAGCCCTTAAAGGGACTCTTTCCTTTCCTTAAAGGGACTCTATTTGATGAACTAGTTTTAAGAGAACCCTCCAGAAAAATCAGTACCTTAGTAAGGTATAAAACCCTTGTTATGCCTAAAATCTTTGGAAAACATTTCTTAAAGTTGGTGAAATTTCATAAACATGTCTATTATTACAGAGATCACACAACATAAATTAGTGTTCCTTTTTCTAAAAGAAATGAACATTGTTTTGAACACACTAAACCTCTGTGACTGATTAATTTAAAATAATGTCTTTGTTTCAGTGAGTTAAATATGTAGTAATCTGGAATGGATTACTTTATGAAGGCTAAAGAGTACATTTTAAATATAAAATCAGCTTAGAAATACTGATTAAGAAAATGTAAAACAGAAGAGCTGTTCTTTTATGTATTCCATAATATTTAATGCAAGGTTTCAGAGTAGCAGCCGTGTTAGTCGGTATCTGCAAAAAGAAAAGGAGGACTTGTGGCACCTTAGAGACTAACCAATTTATTTGAGCATGAGCTTTCGTGAGCTACAGCTCACTTCATCGGATGCATACTGTGGAAACTGCAGAAGACATTATATGCACAGAGACCATGAAACAATACCTCCTCCCACCCCACTCTCCTGCTGGTAATAGCTTATCTAAAGTGATCATCAAGTTGGGCCATTTCCAGCACAAATCCAGGTTTTCTCACCCTCCGCCCCCCCCCCCCCCACTCTCCCGCTGGTAATAGCCCATCCAAAGTGACCACTCTCTTTAAAATGTGTATGATAATCAAGGTGGGCCATTTCCAGCACAAATCCAGGTTTTCTCACCCCCCCACCCCCCTCCAAAAACCACACTTTGTGGTCACTTTGGATGGGCTATTACCAGCAGGAGAGTGAGTTGGGGGGCGGAGGGGGGAGGAGGGTGAGAAAACCTGGATTTGTGCTGGAAATGGCCCAACTTGATGATCACTTTAGATAAGCTATTACCAGCAGGAGAGTGGGGTGGGAGGAGGTATTGTTTCATGGTCTCTGTGCATATAACGTCTTCTGCAGTTTCCACAGCATGCATCCGATGAAGTGAGCTGTAGCTCACGAAAGCTCATGCTCAAATAAATTGGTTAGCCTCTAAGGTGCCACAAGTACTTTTTTTTTTTTTGGATAATATTTAATGTATTCAGCAGGACAGCTGACTTGCCCTTACTATAAAGTTTTTGCAAATAAATCTGACAAACTTCAGGGTATTATATCAAAAAACCTGTGACTGACATTTTTTATTCCCAAAGTTAGTGCTTTTTAATTAGGTACCTTCTGCATGTCCAGACTTCACCATCTGGCATGCAGTGGAAAACATGCTCCATTTTCTTTAGAAAGAAATTGCAGAACAGTGGTTTTTTCAAATGTAATTTGCTTCATTTGGGTTCAGGGATTTGGCTGGAAGGAGGGAAGAGATGAGGGAGACAGTGGGGAGAGGGCAGGGCCTGGGGCAGAGCAGGGCTGGAGTATGAGTGGGGCCACAGGCAGAAGAGGTGGGCTGGGGAGCTAGCCTCCCCAAGCGGCAGCTTCACCCTCTGCCCATGACAGCAGGTAAGAGCGGGTTGGCTCCCGCACACCCAGCAGTCTCCTTAGGCAGGAGCCGTATCCACAGAGCCGAAAGCTCTGTGCCACGCATTCTGCGGGAGGAAGAGGGTATGGGGGTCTCTGTAGGGAACTGTACCTCTCTGCCGCCGTGAGGCAGGCCTGGTGGCTCGGTATCCTTAGTTGCCTCCTCCCCTCCCCACTCCCTCGGGGCTGCGAGCCCGGGCTGCTGTTGGGCATAGGGGCACCAGTTTAATACTGTGTAGGACCCAGAAATCCTAAGGGCAGCCCTGCAGCCAGACCCAGGAATATGCCAAAGCCAAGTTCAGTGCTTTCCAAATGGAGTGAATAACTTAGCTCCCTTATTATCTCCAACACGTGCTGCATGTCAGATGAGACGTAAAAGCCAGGCTCTAAGCACATGGCACTTTTCACAAGAGTGGTGAACCTGGAAGCCCCTTTTTGGGTAACTGTCTTCTGCCTCTTTAAATTCCCCCTCCCATTTCAACTAGAGACAAGATTCTCCTTGCCATATTGCCTTACTGGGCGCTGTTACCAAGTTCCTCCCCACAACGGGTTGCATCTCAGTGGAGAGTGAAGCGACCACTGCACACAGTGTGTACAGATACTCTGGTAATACATGCCAGTGCAGAAACCTCAGAGGCCCAGGCCAGACAAGACGTGCTGCAATCCTCTGGGAACGCGCTATAGCACTGCCAAGTATTATCACCCCCGTTACTTAGGTGAACCACTGCCTACCCTTCGGCCTACTCCTGCTCAATAACAGAACCAAGGAGCTCTCCCTGGCTATTAATTTACTGTCCAGTCACTAGGGCTGTCCCTTTCCTTCCATCTCCACGGACACTCTGTTCCGGTTTGGATTTTATCTGCAGTGATAAATGCCAAAAATTCCCAGGCCTCACCTACAGGCTATTTTCCTTGACCCCAGACTTGGACCATATGCCTCAGTCACAAGCTGCTCCGTCACAAAGCACACACCCCTGCGCAGGCCTGAGGCTGGACTCTCTTTAAACCAGTGACACTTTTCCTCCACTAGATGGGAGTCACCAAACCAGTTCTCCACAGGTCAGGCTGGCAGCAAGTTAATAACTTTGCCATAGCACCACTGGGAGGAAACTGCCTGCAAAGAAATGTGGCCAGACAAGTTGTGATCTCACCCTAGTGACAGTCAACAAAACCACAAGACTTCTGAAATGACCTCCTTCTTGTGCCTGAGGGAAAGGACAGCCTCATCCCCAGGCCACAGCAGACAGGCAGGAATATGAATGCAGAGAAAGGAGAGGTTTACTGATGGGAAGGTGAATTGCACAGGGTCTGCATGGCAGAATGTGAAATCTCAGGGAGTCTCTTGGGTTGGTGGGTGGAGCTGGGATCCTCTGGAGGGGAGAGAGAAGGGAGAGGTGCCTAACACACTTGGCAGAATGGCAGCAGGTCAATCAATTACATCCCTGATCCCGAGGAGGGTTAAACAGGGCAGACAGTCACTGTCCCAGGTCGGGAGAGGGGTAACTTCGTTTGTGTAACTACAAAGATTGCCAGCAGGATTCTGAGGCAGGCACAGCAAATGTAACTACGGGTCATTTTTGAAGTAGACTAGATTACAAGTTGACAGCATCCCTCTAAAAATCAGAGTGAATGTCAGAAACTGTGGATTTACTGCTCTTCTCAAACAGAGGGAAAGAAAGTACCCCCCAAAAGGAACAAATCTGATTCCAATTATAAGACTCTGGATCCTCCACTAGATTTCAGCTTATAAAGATATTTCTTCTCAAAGTGCCAGACCAGCTGAACAGGGTTCTAATGGAAGTACAGGTGCAGATCTATGTGTTGGAGCCTGTTTCATTATCACATGTTCACAATTTCCCCTTCCATGCATATAATTGTACTTATCCATTATGGACCTGATCCAATGCTCCCATTGACTTCAATGGACTGTGTAATTACAAATAGATTGCAAAAGGCCAGTTTGGACATAGTTTCCTTCTCTCCTGCCTCTGGCAAGGTCCGAGTTCAGGTTTTGCACTTTTCTTGCAGCAGCCAAGGTGGCTAATTCACAAACAGCTTAAGGCAGGGGAGGAACACGTGTGCTGTTCCATT